AAAACCCCAGGAATATGATACATTTCTGGAAATAATATGAAAAATAAATACAATTGAATTTTTTTTATAGGGCTGAATTTTATAAAAGGGTATGGAAACTTTCTCTTGAGCAGAAAAGGCAAAGGCTCTCTTTTTATAACTTTTTTATATATAAAAGGTGTAATGGCTAAATTATATAAAAGGTATAAAAGATACAAAAGGTATAAAAGGTATAAAAGATACAAAAGGTATAAAAGGTATAAAAGGCATAAAAGGTATAAAAGGTACAAAAGATATGAAAAGTACAAAAGGTATTATCTAGCTAACTAATAGTCTGTTTGTCATGTATTGTAGCTTGTTTTGATCGTTACAATTTTCTGGATCTAATAGAGATAAAATCTTTAATATGTTTTTATAATATTAACACGTTTTATAACAGTATAGAAGTTAAGGTTAGAGGTATTTTGATTGTAACTAGCTATTAATTAGAAGCTTGAGAGACTTCACTAGGAAGAAAAAAGGTTGATATTTGAGATTGTTTAATAATAAATATAAAGAGTAGTAAAATAAAAGCAGTATTTGAAGTTAGAATTAAGTGTATAAGGTCTTGGTAATTGGTGTGAAAGTTAATTGATTTATTTATATTAAGTTTACTAAAAAAACTTTGTTGCAAAATTTGTGTGAATAAAAATAGTATATTTGTTAAATATTAAGTTAGTATTAAGTGAACAGTTAGTACAAGATGAAAAGAATATAGAAGAAAGTAGATATAGTTGTAATAAGTAAGTAAGCTTGTAGCATTGCTAGTGAACTATAAATGTATAGCCAGTTGTTGTATATTAACAGTGAGCTTTATCAACAATAAGTTTGTTACAATACTACAATAAAGATTTCAACAAAATAAAACAATAAAATAATATACTTAATAGCAACTTTGGTATTTGAAAACAAAGCTTCAATTATTATGATCTGAAATCAAACCTGGCCTATCTTTAGAAATTTGTATTTATTGCAATTCTTGTGCTTATCACAATCATACTAAATAAATTATCTTTAACAATATATACAAACTTAAATTATCTAAAACATATAAATCTAGCACTAGTTACTTTCTTAATTAATAGTTAATAACTAAGAAAAATAGCTTTGCTACATATCTACAGAGTATAAACACTATCCAACTTATCAAGTTCATCTTACTACAATTCGAAATATTTATTTTAAACCTAATTACAACCTTACCTTTAGCTACAACAGAATTTTACTTAGTAATACTTCTATTTAATATCTTTACTCTATATCTACTAACTAATAATATATTACATCCCATGAAAAGAATAATAAAACATCTCCAAAAAGTAATATCTAAATACACCAAAATTATATTCAAAAATAGATAATATAAAGCCAATATAAATTAACAATTAATATATGAATATATAAGTTTCAAAGATAAACTACTTGCTAGATTAACTAATTTTACCAAGGCCAAACTAAAATTATTCAAAGTAAAACTATTAACCCAAGAGTTATCTTTAATCTTAATAACAGACATTCTGATTAATATATATTAGTGATTTGTTTATATTGCTACAATGTTTCAGATATTAAATAACTTGTATTGCAAATATAGTAACAATCTAGCAAATAATTATTAATATAATTAATGAGATACAACAGCATTCACAACAAGATAATCAAAGCTATCAACAGTTTATTTTAAATTTTATACAAAACTATATACAAAATCGCATCTCTATTGAGATTATAACTACTAAAAGCTTATTTTTATTAAATCAGAATATATCTACCATTAATAATATTGCTTGTCTTTATTATTTAATAGTAAAAAAAGCTTATAATTAGTACAAAATTCTATTGTTCAAATATAAACAAACCCAAGTCAGACAGATTTAACATCTAGATCAAGTAGCTAAATATATAAGTTTGATGAACAATTAAACTATAACAAATAATTAAATAATTATATTAAATATAATTATACTCCAGAACAAATATATAATATAGACTAGAGATTAAAACCTATTTAGCTAAAATTTAAGTCTGAAGTAAATTAGCAGTAGCTATAGTTTTATTCTCTTTTCTATAAAAAGTTAATGTATTTTACTAGAAATTGTAAATCATATTTTATACAAAATAAAGAAATGAGAAAAAGACCTCTTTTACAAAAAAAAATTAATAAATAATTTTTTTGCAAATTGTACAAAACGGTACTAAAAAATTTTCTTGATAATAATACTTCAAAGTTACTATAATGTAATTTTTTATAATTATTTACTCTATATAAAACTTTGAAATAATTATAAAATTATCTTGTATAATTATTTACAAAAGTTTATATGTATTTTTTTACTAATAATAAACAGTTTTAACAAATTTATCTTGAGAATATAATTAAGTTTTAAATTAAATACTAGTATCAAAATTCACTATATACTATAATTATTTAAATTAGATACCAAAAGTATATGCGTGGCTAGTTGTATTTTTATCTATATATTAATAAAATTTAATATATTTAAATAAAGTCTCTATTAAGAAATTACCTTAACACTAAAAAAAATAAAAATAAAAATTCAATATAAATTAAGTTTTTGCTTTATTTTAACCTTGTAATTTTTAATTATATTTTAATTATTTCAATACAGTAAATTTTAATTTATATATTATATTGTAACTTATAAACAAAAATTATTATAATATTAAACATTATAGTTTGATATATAATTATTATTTTAAAATTCTTTTAAGTACAATATTTTAATTTTTAAAAAATAAAATTTTAATATTTTAACAACTAAATTTGTTTATTAAAACTAATAATATAAATTTATTATTTTATAATATACTATATAATATATAATATATATAGTAATACAGTATGATATAAATATATAAAATAACTACAATACAGTATATAAAAATTAACCATATTAATTATAAACTTTATTAATATGTTAAGAGTATTAAAACTTATAATAATAATATGATGATCTCTGCTTTTAATTAGCTAAACCAAATACGGTATAATGTTTAATAAAACCACAATATACCGACCGATACGTAACAACTATATATTGATTTTAAAAAAACATGTAAATTATAATTGCGTAATACAATATATATAATCACTGATTCTTTTTTTTTAATTTGTATCACGGTCGTATTTTAAAAAAACTTGAATGAATCGAATTATTACATAAAAATACATAAAAATACATAAAAATACAGTATAGTTTTACCTTTCTAGCTGAATCACAAATTTTTTAGATGTTACGCAGACACAATAGTAAACAATGTGATATGATGTAAATTCAAGAATTTTTAATGATGTGTAAAAAAAATTCAAATACCAATTGTAGCCAATTTTAAATTGAAAATTGAAACAATATATCCAAATAAAAAGGAATTCTTTAAAAAAAAAAAAACTTGAAATTTAAAGCGCCAATAAGAATTACATAATATACATTAAAGAAAAAAGAAGGTTAGTCAGTTTTAAACGATTTCGGGGTAAAAAGATTTTAATATACACGTACTTTTTAAGAGTAAAGAGAAACCGATTGACAATTTATAATACTTGATTTGGAGAATTGAAAAGATATGCATATAAATTACGACAAGTAAAATATTTATTTGAACTAACTGAACACGCACGGTTCGTACACAATAGATGAACTATAAGATACGCCCGCAAGCATAAATGTACTCTAGCCGATGTGTGAAAAACAACGCCTTTTATTTACACATTTACTTCATTTTACACACATTTTACACGATTACTGGACAATAATAACGAAATAATTACGGAGAATTACAGTAAAGTCATAAAATAAAAAAAGAAGGCATAAAATAATAATGATACATTAAATTATTATTATTATTATTTTTAACTTCAACCGTGTTAGTAACAACAACAACATGACCAGTTCTATTTATAAATAAAATGATTGTGATAGGAAAGGTTCATATAGACAAGTTTCACAGTTTAGGTCAGCGCATAAATGATGGACCGTGTAAGTATAGAATTTGTAAGATGTGTAAGATGTGTAAGATGTGTAAGTGAATTGTATATAATTGTATATATGGGTATTGTATTGTGTTGTATACGTACGTCCATACGTCCATACGTCCATACGTACATCCATACGCACGTATATGAACGCGTTTATGCATGATCACGTTAAAAAACCAGTTAAGGAAACACAAAAATAAAATAATTTTTTTTTATATAGATGTCATAAATTGTATTAGATCTGGTAAATTCAAGCAAATGATAATTAAAGGATCATTTAAAGGATTATTAACGGATTATTAACTGACTGTTTAAAGAATTGATAAAAAATTTTTGGGGGGAGGAGATACGCATTTCTTACCGATTTCGTATAATTGGGTGGAGAATTATGCGGATACGTCTTGTGCGCATGCATTGATTAGATAAAGCATGAATGGTACGGTACGTACGTACGTAAGTACGTAATTATATATTCATATATATCACGAAACTACGTATTAAGATCGATAAGAAAAAAAAAAAAGTCCGGTAAGTAGTAACTTTAATTATTATTAATAAACATAAGGTTTTCATTTTTATTTCATTTCAAACGCATAGATCTCGCAAAAAATAAAATGGTCTACTTCATTCTACTTCATGGTTTGGAATACTGTAAAGAGTATATATTCAACGATTATAATAAAGTGATGACTTAGAGAATAAAGTTAATTGTGGGAAAAGATTATATTATGTAAGGAGAGGATCGTGAATGAACTAAGGGAGAATTTTTTTCCCACGTATAAGAAGCATGACCTTTACAGCTTTTAAGTTCTTGCAGCAATAAGAAACTTAAAAAAAATAAATAAATCATGATAGTGAATAGCTGATAGGGAGCTCCACAATATTAGGTACGTAATGATTTTGAAAGAGTCAATAAATATTTCCGATTTGTTACCTGAACAATAATAATTATTATAATAATGAAAAAATTTGAAAAAGATAAACCTAATTATAACTTGTCTCTCAACTTGTTCACTATACCAAATTGAGAAGAATAAATGCAAAACGGATGAATAACATGCATTGCATGAATTGGGATTGAGTCACCTAAAATGTCATCAGCGTAGGCGCGATGCTGAAGATCATCATCTGTGTCAATCTAATACTTGGAAAAAAAAGAAGAAAAAAAAAGCTGAAACCTGATCGAGAAACTACGGTGAAAAGAAAAAAAAATTAAAGTTTGATGTGATCTGCTTTAGATAGCCCCGGTATTTTCTAAGTTTAGTAAATTAAGAGTCGGAACAAAAAAAAATACATAAAAATACATAAAAACTAGATTTTTATTTAAATAGGATTAAGCAGGAGTTTTTTTTTTTCTTTTGTTTCAACTTTGATATGTAGAGATAGTTTAGTCAAAGATGTTAATATGGAAGTTAATATGCAGGTTTTTTTTTTGTGTTTACCGAGAAGTGATAATTAACAGCATATCTATACGGTTAGCGTTAATAGCACGTATGTACAAGGTTTACCTAAAAAAGATCCACCATTTGTTGTATAACGATATTTGTGTCACTCATCGAAATGAGAATATTTCAGAATGTTCTAGTAATTAATGTTTCTAGTAATTCGTGTAGCAGATAGTGATAGAAACGTTGATTTAAGAATATTTAAGAATATTTAAGAATGGAGAATTATATATACAGTAGAATGTAGAAGATTACGAAGTATAAATACATGTATGGTTGAGTAAAAAATTTTTATTGGTATATACTGTAGACATATAAGTTATATTTCAGACGCAAAATACTTAAATTACTCTTACAACGAAGAGAAACCATGAAAATTTTTGCTACATTGTATGAATCTTTATTTTTTTGCGTTTGATGAATTATAAACAAAACAATATATTTGATTTTTTTTTTAACCCATCCTACATACTTTTTTTTGTAGACATACATACATACATATATATATAAATGAGGAATCTACTTTTTCGGCTCCATTACTTGTTTTTTTTGGTATTTTTTTTTTTGTTTTTTTTTTGCTTTTTTTTTGGTGAATTTTCATATTGTACAAATAATAAAAAAAAACAAATAATTTTATCCGAAAAAAAAAAATCGTAATTTTTTTTTTTTTTTTTGTGGTATGTAAATGTTATGAATTTTTAAATTTTATATATAATTTCTGATTTTTGAATTTTTGAATTTTGAATGAAGAGAAGGGAATAATGTTTTGGTTTTTTTTTTAAGAGTTCTTAACATGCAATTGGCTTGCAAAAAGAAAGAGCCAAAAAAAAGCGAGCCTCATCATTTTTAATTACTTAATAATCCTCAAATCAAGTCATCATTGGCATCCGTTGCTGATCTCGTTGCACCAAACGTTCAGCAGGATAGTTATTACCATGGCTACGAGTCCACGATTGACGTGTTGCGAGAAACAAAGTGTTTACAGGTGATGGTGGTGATGATGATGGTGATGGTTCTGATGAAGAATTTCTGGATGTTCTTGGTGTCAGACGTAGATTATACACGGATGAAGATGGAGAGTAAGATGGTGAAGACAAGGGGATTGAATATGAAGAATATGGCTTAGAATATAAAGAGTAAGGGTATTGTGAAGACAGCAAAGCCTTTGCCGAATATTTTATGTCTTGATTACGACATGCTTCGGAGCAATATAAAGTACCCTAATTAATATAATAATAAAATCATCCATTAATTATTATTATCAATATCAACATCATTATGATTATTATACCAATATAAAATTTATATATATATATATATTTCATATATTGTATATATACGTGTTATGAATATATGAAATATATGAATCATACAGGTATAAGTGTACTTTTATTAAAGCTTACCGAAGTGTGTTGAGAGCAAGTAAGACACCAGTCAAGATCCATTTTTTCAAAGTAATTTTATAATTTTGATAAAATTTAAATTTCTGTTAAGTGTTTTTTTTTTTTATAATAACGCTGATAACGCTCGGTGTGAAGAATAGGGACCAAAGCAAACGATAAAGACCAATGTACACTAAAGAGTTTTTTTAAAAATAGACACTTCTAACAGATACAATAAATGCAACTGAGAAAGAATTTTTTTTTTTTTTTGTTGGTAATATTCTTTCACACAAGCGAGAGCGAGACTACGGTAAAATAAACATGAAATGAAATTTTAAAATCGGGGATGTGGGGATTTTCGTCTCATTGATATACTTTTTTTTAAATTAGACAATATACAATATATATATATACAATGATAAAATATATATATATACATATACATATATATATATATACTATATATTTATATATACATATATTTATATATATATATTATGCTATTTTGTGTGATGATTAGGGGATGCCTTTGCCGATCATCTATTATTACAAATAAAACAAAAACAAAATTGTAAGACAAAGCATATTAAGGATTATGATAAGTGTAGTACGTACTAGAATGGTACAACGGGAAAATTTTGCCAGAACCGGTCTAGAAGGGCGTAATCTATCATCCCACATATCTGATGTTAGGAGTAGTACAATATACACGTACAGATGTTGGCTATTTTGCTAGCTATTATCGTTATGCGTATTAAAATTATTTTCTGTACGTACGTACGTACGTACGTACGGTACGTACTTGATATTTTGTATGTGCCTGAATGTACGTATGACTATTAGATTTACTATTAGAATTTTTTTTTATTTTTATTTTTTTTTACCCCACACCCTGCTTCAATATTTAACCTTACTAACATTGTAACATCAGCTCACTTTTTTACTAATAAGTTCATTTTTTCACCACGCCTCTTTTCTCTTTGTACTACAAATATATTTTTTTAAACACGTACCAGGTATACACGTAACTGTTTTGTTGGTTGCTACGTGGCTAGTGCTAATCTCTCATCAAAAATTATTCAATCATCGGTTACTACCGTTATCATAAAACGATGTTGATCTTTTAACTTATCGAATTACCTTCAATTCGTCAATCTGTCAATCTCCGCTATTCCTGTAATGCCACCCTCTCCTTGTTAATACTGTAATAAATGAATGAAGTAGATCATTTAAGGTTTAATTAAACTTTGAACTTTCGACGATCCGTAAAATATAAAACCGACCAAAAGTTCCGAATCCGGTTCCTAACGTCATAATCTGCATTATTGTTACACCAAGGTCTGGGTCCGCCTAAGATCATTCATTTTTAATTTATTTGCTGATTAATGATATCACTAGAAAATTCGTACTTGGCAATTCTGGGTGGTGGTGGTGCCATTTTTTTTAACCGCACAGCCCTGAATTTTGCCCGCCAAAACCCGTCTAATTTCCCGCTCCGCCAATAACATGATAACATGTTTACTATTATTATTATAGCTTAACGTTAAATATTTGTTTTAACGTTTTTAAATACGTACGTATAAAAAAAAAAAAAATTACATGTATATATATATATATATATATAATATACCTTTGTTTAAAATATTTAAAATACAGAAATACCGTTGCTTTTCTAGCAATTTCCCATGTTCATGTGACTTTGCAGTAACATGTTTCAATTCCTGTAATTTGATTATTCGTAATTTTGATAATTTTAATCAATCATTTTTTTTTTCTATCATTATTGATGAACTTGTGAAGGGTTCACACGCCTCATTCTTCTTCAACCCGTCAATTATGTATCGGTATTCAATTGCACAATTTTAGTACATGTTCGACTATTATGGCATCATCATCTAGTCAAGCCCTCGATTATAATTTCTATATATGTATTTAAAATACTCTTTCACAGAGTACTAACAAGTACTGAAGTACTTACAAATACTTCACCACTTACAAATGTATTTTTAAGATGTACTTACGTACCAAATACGTATATACTGTACATATTGATCATTATTATGTATTTATGTATTATAATAGCTATTATAATAAATAGACCTTCCTTCTAAAGCGAGATTTTGATAAGCTTCTTTTGGATCCGTTTCAGTTCTCAAATATTTAACGAAAATCTATATTTTTATTTTTTAATCATTTTATTGTAAAAAAAAAAAAAAAAAACTATTTTGGCAGGTTTTAAATTTATATGTTTATCAATTTTGACTTTCTTTTTCTAAATTTTATGATAATCTATATATGAAGTTATATGAGGCCTGATTTGTGTTAGTTGAAGATAATGTTTTAGATAAATGTTTTTTTTAGTGCAAATTTGCTTTTTTTAAAATAAAGACATAAATGGTGTGGTAAAGATAATGTCGGTTGCAATAAATATAAATGGTCAAAAAAATTGTTCATGCCGTTATCTATTATATTATTATATTTGAAAAAAGATTGAGTTTGAATGAGTCAGAGATGAGATTATCTTTTTTTATTATTTTTCTTAATTTCCTTTTCCTGTAAAATTATACCGAATTATGTTTACGTAATTTTAAAACCTATACATTGTATCGGTAACGTGAGTTTTAAACATGTGTTTCATTATAAATTCGCCACCGTCAAAAAAAATATGCATAAAAATCATATCACATGAAAAATGTTATCTTCTATTTTTATCTTTATTTTTTTATTTGTTAAAAATTTCTTTCATCTCTTATTCGTCAAAATTTCTTTCAATATTCACTAAATTATATCAATTACAGAATCATCATAACTACTACTGTACTAACACTGTACTAACACTGTACTAACGCTAATCATCATTATCATCATCATTCATAATTCACAATAGCTTCTATAATTTTTATTATCCCCTTTCAATCAATTCAATCAATTGCTATAATCCCTATTACGTTGTTCCCAAAAATTCGGATGAAAAGAACGTGTTTCAGGATGATTTGTATTAATCTGATTGTTTAAATTATCCTTTTTTTTCTTATCACATGATTTGATTGTCTTTTAAGTAGGTCATTTTTAACATTAATTCCTATACGTATTTGGTATGAATCCGGGTAACTCCGATAAGCAAAACCTGTTTTTATATTTGATTCCACTATATAATAATAACTATATATTATAATAAACTTTTTAGTGAAACACTTTTACTTACTTTTAAAGTTATTTGTTACCGAATCCCCTACTATTTTATATATTTCTATTGTTAAAATACGTACAATTAATTCTATTTTGTAAAAGCAATTACTTTTAAATAAGTAATTTCCGTTCCTTAATGGCTAAACCTTAGTTGTTCAAAATAATGACTAAATTGCTTCTTCGTGTTATAATTAGGTAATATTTATTTCCTCGTGATATTGAATTTCCCTCTCCGTAAAACATTTCGTGTAATTTTTTTTATTCTAACTTCTAATTTCTAATTTCTTTAAAATATCTGATATACTAGATATATAAATTTTTTTGTTTTTTTTTGTGATCGTGTTTATTATTACTAAACTAGCTCTTATTCGATTGACCTACAATATCCCCCCTGGAAAGAGTGTCGATTCGTATCCCGGATAAAGAAAAAGGGTTAGCCAATTAAATATGTCCAAATTTTCCATTTCCAGAAATTATCTCGGCATAAAGTCCGAGCACATCATAAATAAAAAATAATACGTATTTAAATTAAATCTTTGATACACCTAACGCTGATTAAAGATATTGTATTATGCCTTTTGTAAATATACATACTGTATATCTGATATAATATACTGTATATCACTGTAATACGTATAGATGCAGAGTAGATTAGTATACCTTTTTATAATTACACAAAAGTGTTATACGTACTATACTTTCAAATTCTCTATTTGGGAGGTGTCACGGTGATGGACCAAAAAAAATTTTTTTTGTAATTATGTTCTAAATGACTTTTACTAAAACGTATCTATGATATGTATAAATTATTATCTCTCTCAAAAAATTAATCAATGCAAGATGTTCTTCCTAAAAACCTCTTCCCAAACCTTAACCCGAACCCTAAATACTAACACTAACATAAAAATTTTGTGTTAAAAATTTTTTAATAATATATATATACAATAGCAATAGTTCAATTTATATGCATATATTCAATTATAATAATAGAATTTTAACATGCTTTAACTTTTGCTTTCAACAATATATTTAAAAATTTTCTTGATCTTTTTCTAAATCATCTATTAAAACAATAAATAGTTACTCTAAAGTACTATTATCTTTTTTTTTATATGGGACCTCCCACAGCAAAAGGGGGCAGTGGGCCAAAAAATTTTTATTTTATTTTAATTGATTTCTTGAAGAATTAAATTAATAGAAATATAATTTTATAAAATTACAAAATTGAAATTTTTGTCTCACTGCCCCCTTTTGCTGTGGGGGTCCTCATATATTAGATAATCTTTGCTTCTATCAAGTTTATTCGTAATTCTATATTTCTTAAAAAATTTTTTAACAAGTTTAATAAAAATATCTTCTCAAGCATCAACAATCTATTGACATATCAAATTATATGTTAGTTTTTTAAAATTTTCTCCTTATATAAGTTGAAATTCTCATGCATATAATACCAACTCTTTCTGACAATCATTTGAATCACAATTTTAAAAAACATTTTATTAAAAAAAAAACAGTATACAGTACTAGAGTAAAGTTGATGACTCTTATATAAGACATGAGAAAAAGAACCTCTAAGTTAGCAGCTATTATTTAGAGGTAGTTCTTATATGCTATTTGCTAACAGCCTTAAAGTTTATCACTTACTAACTAGAGGTATGGCACTTGTCATTTAGAAGTAGTTCTCATACACTACTTGTTGACAAGTTTAGAGTTTATCACTTATTGACTGGAGACACAGCACTTGTTATTTAAAAGTAGTTCTTATACACTACTTGCTAACAAGTTTAAAGTTTATCACTCACTAATAAGACTTAGTACTGTGCAGGCTCTGATATATGGTTGATTCTAGTAAAAGAAACTTATACTCTTTTAGT